TAATAATTAAAAAAAAAAAGACCCAATGATCCACTATGGAAAAAACACAGCTACTGAAAACCCAGTGGAAGCAAATAAAACAGCACATAACAATAGGCAAAATGATATGAAAAGTTGGCAGTGACGGCTTTGTTTACAATAGCAAGGAGTTGGAAACAACCTAAGTGCCCACCAACAAACGAATGGATAGAGAAACTATGGTATATTCACACAATGGAATACAATGCTGCATTGAAAAACAAGGAACTCATGCAATATTATTCAAAATGGGTGAGCCTGGAGGACATTAAGCTGAGTGAAGTATCTCGGTCACAAAAGGACAAATACTGCATGGTGCCACTGTTGTAAAACAGGACTGACCTCAAGGTTGGGAGGAGACTGAGAAGGATGGGTTCAATAATGTGTACTACATTGAAACAGATGAGGGAGAAAACTGTTTAAGAGGGAAAATTATTAGGTATTTTTCTCTTGACAGGAGTCCAGAGCAAAGGCTGTATAATGGAGTGGACCTGGGGGGAGGGATTGTAAAACAATGAAAGAATTTTTCTTTTACTTTTCCAAGAGGGGCAAGTACTGGGAGGGAGGGTTGGGAGGAAAGAAAAGTGCAACAATGAATGAATGAATGGAAATTCAAAGTCTCTGTAAATTTTCATTGAAATGAATAATAAATTTAAAAAAAAGTAAGAAACCGCCCCCCTCCAAAAAAAGATGGTGAGACAGAGAAAAAAGAGATGATCAAGATGAAGTTTCCAGTATGAGAAGTGAGGGTGGTAATATCTGAGGTTCCTTTAGAGGCCAAGGACAGGGAAAAGGCCAAGGCAATCCTTGATTAAACTTTGATTATTCATATGGTTATGGAAACATAATGAAAGGACAGATCAACCATTTCAAACAGAATTGATTACCAGTATGATGCATTAATATGATGATGGTACAGGTGTACAAGTGTATCCTATGGAAGAGACATTGTTTAAGGAATATATTAAGCACCAAATTGACTATTACTTCAGTATAGAACATTTGGAACTGGACCTCATTCTTAGAAGAAAAATGGATGAACAAGGTTCACTGCCTATTCCCTTGATTGTGGGTTCCCATCATAACCATCTCATTTTAGAGGCATTAAAAGACAGTACAGAAGTGGAAATTTTGAATGAGAAAATGTAAAAAAGGAACCAGAAAAATGACCAAATCCTAGCCCTCTTCCATATAGTGTGCCACAAACAGACGTCTCTCAATGCCCAGACTTTTTACCAGGTGAAACCTTTTTCACAAAGGGTGATGACCTACTGATTATACTGGATGACTTTTGATCAGAATATGTACTGGAATAGGTGAATTACTCCCACCCAATTCACTCCTCTCTTTGAAAAGTAAAAGAAAACCGCTTTAATTGGTATACAATCCAACCCGCCCCCCGGCAACCCCCCCCAGCACCCCGAGTATGCTCTACAAGCTGTGGCGTAGAAGTGAGAGCAACCAGGATTGTCTTGTGTTCTTGTGAAGAAGGT